CCCCTCTAAAATACTGCAAAATTGGTGTAGGAGGGTGGCCAGCTATTTCATCTTTTGACCAGTATGTACTCAGGGTGGTTGCTTGTAGTGTGACTTCCTCCAGTATCACATGAAGGCATTCTTGAGGAGAGCCGTTGGTCCAGTTTGATGAAGAAGGAAAGTACTAAGATGGCAGACAGAGAAAGTAAAGGAAGAGAAGTCCAGAGCTAAAAGGCATTTTTAAAAGGGGGGGGGAGTTGAAAAGCTTGCTAACTGGATGCAAAATTCGACACTGCAAGAGGCAGAAGAATCAAATCAATAATTCATGATGTATATGACATATGAAGCTCCTGACATGTATAAATGTGGATACCAGTATTGTTATGGAAGGAAACAAATTAGTGAAAAGTGAAGTTCAAAAAGCTGGTGAAATCAGAGAGTGAAAGGAGCAAAGGGAAAAGAAAGCCTGTATGAAGAAATGATGTGTAGGGTCATGATAAGCATACACATATGCAGACGTCATGCACACATCATCCTGAGTATGACACTGTACAAATGTGTGTGTGTGTGTGTGTGTGTGTGTGTGTGTGTGTGTGTGTGTGTGTGTGTGTGTGTGTGTGTGTGTGTGTGTGTGTGTGTGTGTGTGTGTGTGTGTGTGTGTGTGTGTGTGTGTGTGTGTGTGTGTGTGTGTGTGTGTGTGTGTGTGTGTGTGTGTGTGTGTGTGTGTGTGTGTGTGTGTGTGTGTGTGTGTGTGTGTGTGTGTGTGTGTGTGTGTGTGTGTGTGTGTGTGTGTGTGTGTGTGTGTGTGTGTGTGTGTGTGTGTGTGTGTGTGTGTGTGTGTGTGTGTGTGTGTGTGTGTGTGTGTGTGTGTGTGTGTGTGTGTGTGTGTGTGTGTGTGTGTGTGTGTGTGTGTGTGTGTGTGTGTGTGTGTGTGTGTGTGTGTGTGTGTGTGTGTGTGTGTGTGTGTGTGTGTGTGTGTGTGTGTGTGTGTGTGTGTGTGTGTGTGTGTGTGTGTGTGTGTGTGTGTGTGTGTGTGTGTGTGTGTGTGTGTGTGTGTGTGTGTGTGTGTGTGTGTGTGTGTGTGTGTGTGTGTGTGTGTGTGTGTGTGTGTGTGTGTGTGTGTGTGTGTGTGTGTGTGTGTGTGTGTGTGTGTGTGTGTGTGTGTGTGTGTGTGTGTGTGTGTGTGTGTGTGTGTGTGTGTGTGTGTGTGTGTGTGTGTGTGTGTGTGTGTGTGTGTGTGTGTGTGTGTGTGTGTGTGTGTGTGTGTGTGTGTGTGTGTGTGTGTGTGTGTGTGTGTGTGTGTGTGTGTGTGTGTGTGTGTGTGTGTGTGTGTGTGTGTGTGTGTGTGTGTGTGTGTGTGTGTGTGTGTGTGTGTGTGTGTGTGTGTGTGTGTGTGTGTGTGTGTGTGTGTGTGTGTGTGTGTGTGTGTGTGTGTGTGTGTGTGTGTGTGTGTGTGTGTGTGTGTGTGTGTGTGTGTGTGTGTGTGTGTGTGTGTGTGTGTGTGTGTGTGTGTGTGTGTGTGTGTGTGTGTGTGTGTGTGTGTGTGTGTGTGTGTGTGTGTGTGTGTGTGTGTGTGTGTGTGTGTGTGTGTGTGTGTGTGTGTGTGTGTGTGTGTGTGTGTGTGTGTGTGTGTGTGTGTGTGTGTGTGTGTGTGTGTGTGTGTGTGTGTGTGTGTGTGTGTGTGTGTGTGTGTGTGTGTGTGTGTGTGTGTGTGTGTGTGTGTGTGTGTGTGTGTGTGTGTGTGTGTGTGTGTGTGTGTGTGTGTGTGTGTGTGTGTGTGTGTGTGTGTGTGTGTGTGTGTGTGTGTGTGTGTGTGTGTGTGTGTGTGTGTGTGTGTGTGTGTGTGTGTGTGTGTGTGTGTGTGTGTGTGTGTGTGTGTGTGTGTGTGTGTGTGTGTGTGTGTGTGTGTGTGTGTGTGTGTGTGTGTGTGTGTGTGTGTGTGTGTGTGTGTGTGTGTGTGTGTGTGTGTGTGTGTGTGTGTGTGTGTGTGTGTGTGTGTGTGTGTGTGTGTGTGTGTGTGTGTGTGTGTGTGTGTGTGTGTGTGTGTGTGTGTGTGTGTGTGTGTGTGTGTGTGTGTGTGTGTGTGTGTGTGTGTGTGTGTGTGTGTGTGTGTGTGTGTGTGTGTGTGTGTGTGTGTGTGTGTGTGTGTGTGTGTGTGTGTGTGTGTGTGTGTGTGTGTGTGTGTGTGTGTGTGTGTGTGTGTGTGTGTGTGTGTGTGTGTGTGTGTGTGTGTGTGTGTGTGTGTGTGTGTGTGTGTGTGTGTGTGTGTGTGTGTGTGTGTGTGTGTGTGTGTGTGTGTGTGTGTGTGTGTGTGTGTGTGTGTGTGTGTGTGTGTGTGTGTGTGTGTGTGTGTGTGTGTGTGTGTGTGTGTGTGTGTGTGTGTGTGTGTGTGTGTGTGTGTGTGTGTGTGTGTGTGTGTGTGTGTGTGTGTGTGTGTGTGTGTGTGTGTGTGTGTGTGTGTGTGTGTGTGTGTGTGTGTGTGTGTGTGTGTGTGTGTGTGTGTGTGTGTGTGTGTGTGTGTGTGTGTGTGTGTGTGTGTGTGTGTGTGTGTGTGTGTGTGAAAGAGTATTTTTGTTTATGTCATTTTGGTTCAGTACAAGAATTTACTTTGTTGTTTTACACCCAAAATTAGCATAATTGTTAGTTATGTTGTGAGTATTTGTTGAAAACTACTGTTCTGTGCTTTCCTAAAAGAAACAATCAGGATAATTGAAGGTGAAAACTGTGGAATAGTATTGAACTTTACCTTGTTTAATAATTCTTACTAGTTTTCTAACCATTTCAGTAGTGAGGAAGCAAACAAAAATAAGAGTTCTCTTATTGAGTTCTTTTAGACTAATATTCACACTGCCTATTTTTATAGACTGTGATAATTCCACATTATGAAAAAAACACCTTCCTTTGTTTATCTGTTACTAGTACCAGTATATGGATCATGAAATTTATGTCATCAGCTAAAATAACATGTACAGAAATTCAATTTAGATATTTCAAAATATATATCAGATTGATAATTGGTGTCATAGGAAACATAATACTGTATATTCAAGTGTAAATACTTTACTGTATCACAAAATAGCTGCCCAAAAAATATGTGTATTGCAAGTATTAGTGGTTGATAATAATTAAAAACTATTTTGAGTTAGTACTCTATGTTCACTGTAATTTTAGTTTCTTAATTTTGTTTGTACACAGATGGCTCTATCAACTCCTAGTCAACAAGAAGTCAGGTACTAGGCTTACCTGATGATAGCTGTTTACCATATTTCTTAAATTTTCAAAAAGAAAAAAAATCTAGTTTTATTACTATTATTACTGTTAACAATGTCATAACAATAACATTGGCAATAATAATGATAATTTTAACAATGATAACAATAGTATTAGAATTTTTCCAAAAAAAAAATAAAAAATCAAGAGTAAACAGGTGAGGTCTGGTAGCCCTCCAATTAGATTCTTGATGACTAAAGGCTTGTGAAGCCATCTATACACAAACAAAGCTGGCAAAACAAGTCTACAGCAGACAGAACAAGCACCCTGTCTCATTGGCTAAGGGCAGTGTATGGAAACAGGAGTAAAATTTACAGTTGCATTCACTTTCTCTGCAAAGTATTTTCACTGTGAACAGAAATTAGGTTCTGATAATACATTTTCTCTTTTCAACACAAATATCCATTGGCCATAAAAAAAAATTCTTCAACCTTCATTCATCCTGCATTCCTTATATTATGCTATAATAAATCTATTATCATTGCTCCTAGCATTATGTGTAATAAAACATGAAAATACAAACATCTTAATAAGTGTAATGAATTATTATCTTCAACATATCAGCATAGGCAAATATAATTTCACACTGGAATATAAATTGCATTACTAGTTTTTCAATACACAAAACAAAGGATATGACAAAAACAAAAATACTTTTAGATTTTAATCTGTTAACATAATATTCTCTTCTAATAAATTATAATAATTAAACTCTTACTATAGAGAGGTAATGTTATTTTGTATAGTCATAGAAACCTGGTTTACACATAAATAAATATGTAATAACATGCCACAGTATATATAAGTAGCCATTGCATTGCCTTAATCATATTTTCTAAAACACTACCAAAAATCATTAAATGGGTCCTCATACATATACTATGTTGCACTGTGAACACCATCTAAATGTTTCATCAGCCATGTTAAAAATCTAAATCATGTTGACTAGCTGACATACCTATGTGTGAAAGATGTTCTCATATTATTGTGTCTGTTCCCAAAGCACAGACTCTGAAATAAAACAGCAGTTATGATTGGCATTGGATTCAGACATTAGCCTTGACCTAAGCTCATGCAGTAATTAAGCATCTCAGCTAGAGTCTAAAAGGTTCACAGATAGATAATGTGATTTTTTGCATATCCCAGGTAATTAACTCCTTTCTCTGTCATATTTTGAAAAATAACATATTTCATTTGATTTTTTCAACTGATTTCTATTAACTTTGGACCAATTATTTAAAAAAACAGCATTAGTTTTACTCTACCTCTTTGTAATTTGTTAAACACAATATCTTGAGCTTTCCAACAACAACAACAACAAAAAAAAAAGAAAGAAAAAAAAATCCGTTTATGTAAGAAACATGACATAAATTGGTTGTCAGCTCCAACATATTGCAAAGAGTAACAATTTTGCAAGTAAGTGCTAATTAAGTATGGCAACAGTAAATTGATGCCATGTAAAAATACCAATACTATCCCTGGTTCATATTAATGATATCATGTTACGAATTCTCTTAATTACAAACTTAGTACTGATATCAGACACTTTACATTTGTTAACTGTTGAAACTTCTACATAAAATAAGAGCCATTAATAAAATATTCATATTTCTAGGTTGATCAACTAGTTTTTCATAAATTTTCTGTTTCAAAATGATGATCTGGAACTTTATTTCCCAGTTGAAAGACACTAATATGCAATAAATGTCATCTTAAAAAACACTTTGGACTATACATCATCAAACTATTCAGAAAAAAAAATGGGTTTGATAAGAAAAAAACATGACATGCTTAAGCAAAACTAATGCCATCTTTTAATTAAATGGCCCTGAATTAAGTCAAAATCAGCTAATAATATATTGATGAATAAATAAACAAAGGTAAGTATATATTTTGAAGCTGCATGATGTATGTAATAATTACAGTGTGTATACATATTTTAGCCTAAGAAGTTATTAAGGCTTATATGCATAAATGTATTAACAAAAAACATCAAGTTTACCACAAGGATACTCTTACTCATACTGTGGAACTTGATATATTTTAAATTATTAGCATAGACAACATGATACTTTTGGTAATCAATGTTATATTATTAAAATTGTGAACTATTCAATCTTTTCAAGAAATGTTCTTATAAGGAATGTTGACATTTACTGCAATATATAAATATTAGTAACAACAATAATGATAATGACAATATTGGAAGTCATGTCACTGATCATAGCTACCAAATTACATCTTGGTACTCAATATATTAAAGAAAAAAGAAAACTATATACTATCTCTTGACTTAACTAATGAGATCAGTCTATAGGCTCTTAGGTCTTCTCATTAAGTTTCTCTACCTAAGAATCATGGTATTTCTGTCAATATTGACATATTTCCTGTTCATAGCCATGGAAGAGCAGTATTTGAAAAATGACTAGCATTTACAGCAAGATGGATACTCAACATTTACTCATATATAAGCTGCCTTCCTTTGTAAGGCTACACATTTTTTGCATGTTTTAATGCAAAGGAGCCTGGTTTGCTAACCTAGGCTTGACTGCAATAGTAAATAACCACATATACATTCATTCTCTACAACACATCCAGGAAGTAAAAAGAAATCTAAAAGGCAAATTTCATATCTCTCTAACATATTCAACTCTACTAAATAAAGATATTCTGAGCATGCAACACAACATAGTAAATGCATACCATACAATTAGGTATATCTTAAAGTTAAGTACAAAATTGAAAACCATAATTTGCAAGTTTGCAGAACAATGATTGTAAGAACTTGTATGACTTAATTTTAATTTCAAATACGTTACTTAAATGTGACCTTACTATCTTTAACTCTCCCTACATTTATGGAAATCCTCCGAACAAAATGTGATTTTCTTACCTAAAACAATGATAAACTTTTTCATTATGTTTTGTCATAACAGGGAATACAATATTCCTTACACTTTTTTTATTACAAATATTCTTTTTTTAAGTTAGCATACATATCAGATTTCTGTCCCAAAAAATATAAATATACAATTATGGTTGCATAAATAAAAAAAAAGGTTTTATTACATGCCACTAAACAGTTTGGATACAAGAAACCACTATTGTCAGTGTCATGGGTTCTGGCATAAAAAAGTTAGTTTCCAGACTTTTGAAAAGACTGTTGGATTGAATTTATATTTGAAAAAAAGTAAATTAAAGTAGCTCAAGATTTCTGTTACAGTCTTATAATTTTTTGATGAACTATGACACTGACATACTGACTACAGTCCTGAGTATCTCTGATGATACACTGTAGTGGTTGAGATTGCTCACAAGAAATCTCATATATTTTCTGCATTGATACTTCTTTAACCCTACTTTTTATGTTTTGGTGGGGAGGGGGGATTACAGGGGAGAGAGAAAAGGCAGTTCATATGTGAGTAAAAATGGCAGCCACCTGCAATTCAAGAATATGGTCCCAGGGTGCCTTGAGCACAGTTCAGATTCAAGACAGTGGCTGACTTAGCTAACACGGATGGACTTCAAAAACAATGTTCTCATTTGGCTCTGAAAATTGAGTTAATATGCTTACTTTTCACAGTGTGTGTGTGTGTGTGTGTATGAATGTAGATGTAGATGTGTGGCTGTGCATGTATGGATGTGAATGTGGATGTGTGAATGTGGTTGTGTGAAAGTGGATGTGTGAATGTGGATGGATGTGTGTACGTGTATATGTGTATGTATATGTGCATGTGTGTGTGTGAGTATGAATGTGGATGTGATTGTTGGTGTGGATGTGGAAAGAGACATGGAAGTGGACAGGGGGCTGGGCATGGGTGTGGAGGATTGTGCAGGCATAGGTGTGAGTGCTGGCATGGGCATGGGTGCAGGCATGTAAATGTGTGAGTGTGAGTGTGAATGTGCATCTGTACATGCACGTATGCAGAAAGATGGTTAATGGTTGGACATCTGCAAGCTCATTTGTGTGTCTACATACATGCATGTGTCTACGTACATAAAGGGATCTGTGGATGTCTAAAAATTGGTCTATCTGCATGTCTACCTGAGTATGTAAATGACTGTCTGCTCATCTGTCTACCATGTGCATAAGCATGCATAGATATTGGATTTAGACTTCAATACCCTGCCCTTCATTCATAAATTACAATATTCTCCTTCATTACAACTTTCAGCCAGGATTTAAATATTACTGAAAATGTTAAAATGCGCAAAACAAATAACTAAAACATTGAATCAAAATATATTGGACTTCACTAACTTTATGACAATATCAAGTTAGCCTACAGCATATCAATCCTAATTACAAGCTAATGAAATTAGCATCAAGATGTAAGGAAAAATCAACATTATTATCTGCAGGCAGTATTCCTGGATGAAAACTCTTGTTTATCAAAGGTATTGCTTAAAATTACTGACTAGGTTTTACTTGATCTACACCTAATCTACCTAAGTAACTTCATTCATGGACTGAGATATTATGTAATCAAGTATTCATATGAACATTTTTTTCATTTTTTTCCATAAAAGCTGTCTTTCCATGAAGATATGTTTTGATCATATTTAAATTCACTGAAAAATGATAACCACCTTCAGTTCATCTTAAAATGATGCTTAGGGTACCACCTGAAAATTGGAATATGACACTGGCAAATTGGACAAGGAAGGAATTACCTTATTTTTTCCTGACTAGAGACTAACTGATATCAATAGAAGAAATTATCCAGGTTCAATTTGTATATTTCCAACACAAAGTGATCTTTCTAAATATTCCTGGACAAAGAAATGCATTTGTGCAGAAACAGAGCATGTGCAATGTGATAAAATAATCTGGCTAAGTTTTGTGCTAGAGAATGTGACTTTTACTCTCTTCTATATACCTTCCTGTGATTGTCCATAGCAATTAGATGTTACAGAGTATTTAGCTTGAAAAAGAAGTAACAACATTATAAAAATCCATTTCATGCAGTCTTCAGGGCATCACAAGATTTCAAAATCCACAACAGTGGAAGAATATACCTTTATGTTTTACCAGGCCAAATTGCAGTATTTTGCCTTTTTTGTGCTTACAATAATTAATGCTACATTTTTGGGGTTGTTTGTGAAAGACAATTACATCATAGTTATTTTTTCCACATAGGTGAATCATACATAATATTTTTTTGTACTTAAAGACATCCATAGTAGACAATAGTCTAGTGTGGGACTGAGAGTAATAAAAGGTTGTTTACCTAGTCTTAGGTCTAACACTCCTGCTTGAGATCTGGTTGGACCAATCCAGACCATCATACGTCAGTGGGGACGACATGGTTGGGAAGATCCATGTGAGATACCAACGTTCTCCAAGCGTAACCTGCAAGTGGATAGGAAAGCTATGACAATGGCTTCTAGTTTCAGTAATTTAACATTCCAATAGCACTATTCTTTTCTATCTCTTTCCAAAATAACTGAGCTGAAAGTAAAAGTTGATCCTCACCTTTATGTTATGTTCTGTCCCATGATCGTATTTCTGTCCCTTGCGGTTATTATTCTCATAGGTTGTTGTGTTTGTAACAAGGAGTCCCGTATAGTAGAAGATCAAAACAGTCATGAATAAGAAGCCAATAACATTTATCGAGAACAAGAAGGCATAAAGGGTGTCCAAGGAAGGTTCCCATAAGATCCACACTCCAGGCAGGAGAAGACGCACAACTGCCCACATGCTGAAACCTCCTGAAATAGCAAAATAATGCATGAGAATGGACATTATGTTATGTATAAGACAGATATGGATTTGTGTGCAGAGAAAGAGAGAGAGAGAGAGAGAGAGAGAGAGAGAGAGAGAGAGAGAGAGAGAGAGAGAGAGAGAGAGAGAGAGAGAGAGAGAGAGAGAGAGAGAGAGACAGAGAGAGAGACAGAGAGAGAGACAGAGAGAGAGACAGAGAGAGAGACAGAGAGAGAGAGAGAGAGAGAGAGAGAGAGAGAGAGAGAGAGAGAGAGAGAGAGAGAGAGAGAGAGAGAGAGAGAGAGAGAGAGAGAGAGAGAGAGAGAGACAGAGAGAGACAGAGAGAGAGAGAGAGAGAGAGAGAGAGAGAGAGAGAGAGACAGAGAGAGAGAGAGACAGAGAGACAGAGAGACAGAGAGACAGAGAGACAGAGAGACAGAGAGACAGAGAGACAGAGAGACAAAGAGAGAGACAAAGAGAGAGACAAAGAGAGAGACAGAGACAGAGAGACAGAGACAGAGACAGTGAGAGAGAGAGAGAGAGAGAGAGAGAGAGAGAGAGAGAGAGAGAGAGAGAGAGAGAGTGAGTGAGTGAGTGAGTGAGTGAGTGAGTGAGTGAGTGAGTGAGTGAGTGAGTGAGTGAGTGAGTGAGTGAGTGAGTGAGTAAATGAATGAATGAATGAATGAATGAATGAATGAATGAATGAGTTGGTGCATGTCTATCTGTCTGTAACCAAATTTGTTTTTGTCATCTCTTCCTAGTCTACATTATATGACAGGTTATAAATCACATGTCTACATACAGAACTTTCCTCATACAGCCAAGTTTAATTATGAAGAGTTAAACTTACCAACATGTGGCCAAATGAAGAAGGCATTTAGGAATGAACAATATAAAGTTGATCCCCACATGTAAAATAAGAAAATGTAAAAATATCTATGGTTTTTGAGGCCCACGCAACAGCCCGTGAAGACACAATGGTGCTCCTTCTTCAAGACACACACATTGCAGGTGTTGCAGTGACGTGATCGAGCTGGGGCTGTGCTTTCACATGCCGCACACACATGCCAACCAGATGGAACCTGGAAAATTGTCCATCAAGGAATTACCTCACAGTGGTTACTGATGTTCCTAAAACTGATATTGAAAATCTATCATCTACTCACTTTAGAGTTGTATAAAAGAGTTCATATAAGCAAAATAAATTCATTTCTTAAAGTAAAATCTGTAAGTATCCCAATATATATAAATTTAGGAAATATATTCAGGCAATAGTTTTATTATTCTAGGTCAATGCTCTTTCTGCAATAATAGAGACACAAGCATATAATTCAAATACATACCTGTGATGGCAGTAATAATCCTTGTGTTGAAGTATCCACAAGCATAATTGCAATGAAATTACCAATAATATTGGCAACAATAAAAGTTCCAGCAATGCCATGGAGAACACTGAGAGTTGCATTATATATTGTTGGAGCAACAATGAAAACCTGAAAGTCAATGGATAAATAAGCCATAATGTAAACTCTATAACTATATCACCATACACCAAATAAGGAACAAGATTTACTCTGATAATGGTTATTGGCATGGTTTCCACAACTGTTGTGACTCCAACAAAAGCCAACACACCTCCAAAATATATATTCTAGGAAGAGAGAGTTTTTGCATCTCCCTAGCATTTTGGAACAGACCAAAATCAGGCTTGAAAAAAATATGTTTACTGGAGGTGTGCTTGCCTATGCCAGGACAGGAGGTGCAGCCATTTTGGATATTACTTAACACTGTGCCACTATTGCACTGCTCTGACTGTAGGCCTATAATTTCACATCACACAAAGTCACAAGTGGATTTGGATATGATAGTCATCAGCTAACCCTTAGCAAATTCTCACTGTAAAGATCACAGTGGTTTCTTCAAATTATTTGCTCCTACTGATTACTAAAATAAAATATTCAGATTTAAACTTCATAACAAAAAAAAAAGCAAAAAGGTATATTTGCATAACTATCTTCAAGCAAAGTGTAAACCAACACCAGATAACAAACCTCAAATACGTAAATGGCCGGAATTGCAAAGCACATAAACACAACGGCACAGAAGTCTGCAAAGCTCCTCGGCATCAATTTCTTCCTAAATCTGATGCTGTGCGCCATTGTCCACTAGAAAGCAGAAAGGAATTAGTCTAGTATAATATCAAATCTTATTAACGAAAAGCATACGATATCATCAAGCTTCCTATCATGTGAGTGAAAATAATAGAAAAAAAAAATCATAAAAACAAATTTATACAAAGAAAAGTCAAACCAACACTAACTTAAAACCCTCTCTTGTAATGTCTTTGACAAACTCCTTCCTCTGTGGTAATCCTCCCAAACACTTAATAATCTCTAATAAGAACCACCTCCCTATCTGTCCTCGCAGCAACATCACAGTAAACCCTTCGAACAATAATAATCTTTATATAATAATAATAATAATAATAATAATAATAATAATAATAATAATAATAATAATAATAATAATAATAATAATAATAATAATAATAACAATAACAATAATCTGTAATCTTTTACAGTCAACCCAAATTTAGTATCTGGTCAGAAGGTGTGCATCTCCTTAGTAAGAATCTGACTGGTTTACGTAGCTACAGTGTTTATGTTGCTGTCCGTATATACACACACTGTTTTATGATCAGACCTGTTCTTTAAGCAAAATGATGTTTGAAAATGTCTTTGATAAACTCCTTCCTCTGTGGTAATCCTCCCAAACACTTGATAATCTCTAATAAGGACCACCTCCCTATCTGTCGTCGCAGCAACATCACAGAAAAAACCCTTCGAAATGTATCAGTCAAGAAAAAAAATGGTTTTAGATCCAGTCTGTGACCTCTTGGACACTCACCTAAGACAAAAACGTGTTTAACTCATACACACCTCTTAACTCATACACGAAGAAGCGGCTAAAGGAGAGGAAATATGTAATGGTGGAGAAATATGTCGTAACTTCATCAATAGTTAAGTGACAGTAGCAGACAGCTTTTTTAGAGGTTACGGGACTACTTTATTCTTGGTAATGCTAAATGATATTCGAATATTGTTAATAAACATGAATTAAATTCCACTTTACATCTTTTATTTTATGATATTGTAGACATATTATGAAGTGATGTTCTTCAAGAGTTTGTTTAATTATTTTAAGCTTGTATGAAGATAATATGTTATTCATGATAGATTTGGCCAGCTCTTTCAATATTTAAACTTTAAAAAATATATCTTATATTTTCAAATCGTTTTATCTGGATATATCAATAGCAATGTTCAATTACAATCGATTTAAAAATTGAAACTAGTACGGAACTAATATATTTTTGGTCTACCATACATTTCCTTATAATCAAAATTTGCTCGTTTATTGAACTGAGCATTTTTTTTTGTAAATGTAAATGTATACTGGTATATCATTAGGAAATTCATCAATAAAATATTAGGGTCGTTCTTCACACCATGAATCTGCAAGAAGCGTCGACTTTGTTCTGTCAAAA